TCTTTGAAGTCGGTTTGCACTGCCGCATCAGAGTTGATTTTTTTTCCTTGTAACAAGTTGTCCAAATTCCAGAGAAAATGGTAATCTGTTGGAGCAAGGTCCGGGGTGTACGATGAATGTCGCAGACATTCCAATTTAGCTCATCTAAGTTAGTGTTTGTTTGTTATGCAGTGTGTGGCCTTGCGTTGTCGTGAAGCAGCAGTGGCCTAGAGCGATTGACCAATCTCGGTTGTTTAGCAGCTAGTTCTGACTTCATGGTTTGCAGTTGTTAACAATAGATATCTGCCGTAATAGTTTGGCCAGATTTTAGAAAGCTGTAGTGAACGACACCGGCGCTAGTCCACCAAGCACAAGTAACTTTTTCCGAGTCAATTTTCGTTTAGGGCAGGATTTGGCTGGGTCTCCAGGGTTCAGTCATTGCGACGAGCGCTTCCGATTATTGTACAGTATCCACTTTTCATCACAAGTAATGATTCAATTTAAAATCCTATCATTATTGTGTCGGTTGAGCAAAGTAACACAGCAGTCGACGCATGTTTTCAAGTTCAATTCACTCAATTCATGAGGTACCCACCGTTGTAAGTTTTTTTACTTTCCCGATTTGCTTCAAGTGGATTAATACAGTTTTGTCACTTACCCCAAAGCCTGCAGCTATCTCTGAAGTGCCTTGTGATGGATCCGCTTCCACAATATCCTTTAATTCTTCTTTTCCACTTTGGTTCTGAAGGTCGAAATTGCCAAAACGAAAACATTGGAACCAAAAACGTACCATGCTTTCTTTTGCGACACCAGCGCCGTACACATAATTAATTCTTCGAGTTGTTTCTGCAGCATTGGTGCCACGGTAGAACTAGTACTTATAATATATCGATATTTCATGTGTTTCATTGGGCGGTAATAAGCGACGCCAAAGAAAAAAAAAATGGGTGCGTGTACTTATGTAGGCGCGTGAGAAGTTATCCTTCTTTGGCATCGTTTAAAATTAGTTTTTAATTGCATGCAAATAATTAATTACAATAAATTAATAAAAAGTCTGGAAAAGGACACAGTCAATAAAGTTCAGTTTTAATTTGAAAAAATAAATAAATAATCAAAATATTCAATTAAAATCGCTACTGAATATAATTTATTAGAACATATGTGATTTGCACTTGTATGAAACTCAAACACGTATTCCGAATATACAAACTAGAAACATGTGGATAAATATTATAAATATGAATACCTATAACTGTTACTTTATTACAAAAAATAAAGATGTGGTTTTTGGTTCTACTACACCAATGGTCAAGAGATGGCGCTGTAGTCTCCTGAATCGCGCTTTGGTTCCGTTGTTCCAGATTAATAAATACTTTTGATAGGCCTTCACAATGCAGTCGTTAGCACCCACTAAATAGAGATTCTATTTCTATTTTGTTGGTAGATTTTCTTAATGTGCGGTAAACATAAAAGTAACGCATGAAGTTGATCGCTAAAGCGACCAACTTCATGCTGTTAAAATTTTGTGTTACAGTGATGCGCGCGCATCTTAAAATTTCACTCTCATCATTTTTTCATAACGCGCCTAAAGAAGTATAACTTCAAAAAATAAGGGGAAAACCAAATGAATGACTGTTTTCGAAACTCAAATGTGTACCAGTTAAATGAATTTATAAATTTGAATTTGGAATTCTTAACCAAAGCGGAGATATTTCAAATCAAAGTGGTCAGTACGACGAAACGCTAATTTCATATGCAAGGACCCACAGACATAGATAGTATAGATAACGCAAGTTCATCGAATTGTATGAAAACCACGCGTGCCACATTTTAAGTACCTACTGTGACGTCACAAGAGCATTTTAGTGAAGGGAATTCTTCGTCCGCGCGTAACGATTCAAAGGCGCCAGCCGCGGCGAGTTGTGCGCCAGTACCATAGAGTACATTATATACGCCGCTAGTCCTTGAAGTGAGAGGTCGCGCGCGCGCATCCCGTCTGCTTGACTGTTATTGCTTTAATTCACCGCTTTTCAAGTAAGTTTTTGTTTATAGATACGTAAAAAATTGATTGTAATACTTATTAGGCTTTTGAGCAGAAACCATTAAAAAATAAGAAATGTGGCGTGAGCTAATGTAGGTATTTTGCAGTTTAGTTATAATATGAGTAAAAATGCCGAATTTTATATATCGATTATTTAATCGATTATAATTCGAGTTCAAAGACAGAGGAATGATAAAACTAAAGTTACTTGATTTTTTACTGTAATCATAATATAATTTTTATTTGCCTGTCGTGTTGTGTCGTGACACGTCAGAGAGGTGTCGGCTTCAAACATTTAGTACGGTTAGAATTATATTTGTCTGTCGCGATCTGTCGACATAATGCGACACACAAATATAATTCTAACCGTACTAAATGTATGAAACCGATACCTTTCTGACACGTCACGACACAACAGACAAATATAAATCCGGCTTTATTTGCATAATAATAATCTGTTCTTATTGGTACCTACCAAGTATTTGTAACTTTGTTGCAGATAAGTTATGGCTAGCACAAATAAAAAAAACCGTGAAGAAATTTTAACTGCAAAAAGAAAAGCCAGTAAAATACGTTATGATAAAATAAAATCCGATCCAGATCTAAGTCGGCTTAGAAAAGAAAAGGACAAAGAAAATTATTTAAAGAAAAAGAAAAATAATCAAATTATGGATATAAGGAAGAAAAGCGAAACCGAGCAAGAAAAACAGCGAGAAAAATGGCGTCAGAATTCCAGAGCATATTACTTACGTAAGAAGAAGCAAAAAGAAGTAGACCATGTTAATGTTAACGAAAATGTGGGTGATGTCAGTCCTCTAGTTCTAGTTGATGGCATTTCAAATGAAACGGATCCTTTAGAGCCGTCGGTGTCAAATGAAAGAAAGAAAAAAGGAACAATACTATCTGACGTGATTCGTTAATTATGACTTAAAAAAGCTTTTAGGATCAAATACTATTATAAGCAATCGGAAATATAACTGCTCTTCATTGAACATTGCCAAAGATTTTAAAGAATTTGCAAATTAATAATTATATTTTAAAAAAGCAGTGTGTTTGTAAATCATACGAACTACACATTAAAAGCAGATAGCTTTAAATGTGTAGTTCGTATGATGAATTGATGAATGAAGAGACTACAGCTGTTCCTGATTTTAGTGGCATTAAGTTGTTGTAGAAGTGGCACCATTTTTGTCGCAGCCGTCCTTTAATTTTATGATTAAATAATAGAAATTGAGTTCCTATCTAAAACTAACCAAATAATTATTTTTTAAGTTTTGACAAAGAAAAAGTCGTTATTGTTTTGTTATACTATTTTTTGTTGATTATTTATAATAAACTTCATACAAGTAAAAAAATGTCATCTTATTCTCCGTTTCGTAACTTCGCCATGGGTTTTAGTCAGTCAGTCAGTCAGGTCTCAGTGATGAGGGCTTTCTTTTTTAAACATTCTATTATTGTCTCCAGAATAATAATTCTTTTATGTTTACGACGATTCTGCTCTTGTAACCTTTTTATTTTTAACTTTTGATTTTTGATTATTTTATTTAATTTTGTCTTCTTTGGTGAATTTAGTAACGAAGGTTTCTCCAGTGTACGAGATGGCTGATTTATTTTCTGTAAATGGAAAGGAATAAAAAATTATAATAATACCGTATACTATATATACATTGCATGTGTATTGTATATTATGGGCCCGGCTCGTTCACTAACCTCTTCACTACTTGTGGTCTTCACAGCTTTTTCGAACAAGCGTCGTTTTTTCGTTGAAACATAGTCGTCCTCTTTAAAATGCATGGAACAAATCGTACTGTGTTTTGTAGGGAACCAGTCTTTATTGCCTGTTGCGTCAATCCATTTTTCTTTAGAATTAGAATCACGTGGAAATCTTAAATAAATAACTTAAATAAATTATAATTCTTCTGTCTCCAAAATCGACTACACGTATGAATCGAATATACGATTATGCAAGTACAACACTATTTGTAAAATTCGACAGAGGAATGAGAATAGTGGCTGGACCACGAATTCATCGCGGTTGCGATTGTTTCGTTTGTATTGTTTTCATTGCGCATTAACTTAACAACTCCAATTATACTAGCAAAGCAGACCGGCAATGGATAACGATATTGGATCCGTAACGAAGATATGTTTGGACGTAGTAGGATTCACTAAAAATAATAAAACATCGGGTTTAATAAAATTACAGCTCTAATAAATAACACAACTACTTACCGATGATACGACACGTCTCCTCTCACTCTGCAAACTACTTTCGACGTATTTTTACAATTAACAACGGCGCAATTAGGCATTTTGATATTTTCAAAGACTACTTTCCGCTAACGCAGTCCAAAGCGCACTGAGCTCTGACCGGGCCGTATTTGAGCATTGCGCCAAATTGCCGGCACGCATTGGCGACGGCATGCGTCATCTATACTATGTCTGTGCAAGGACCTAATATTTCAACAACCTTGAATTAAGCACCAAACATGAATTTATCATAAACTGATGATAAGCAATAATAGAAAAAAATGTTGCCTTCCTTTTATTACAGCAAAAAGTAGCAGAGTAGCTGATTATTTAATGAAATTAGGGCTAAGACGCAACATACACCTCAGTCGTAACATAACCAACACCTAAGAGTAGATTGGTCTAACGATTCAGTGACTGGTTGGGAAAAATTTCGAAAAGGTCGCCCAACGTGTCACAGTGTGACTGGTTGGAAATTATTTTAAGAAAGGTCTCCCTAACATGTCACATGTGTGACAAGTTGGTAATTATTTTACAAAGTTCTCCCAACGAGTCACAGTGTAACAGGTTACAGTGCGACTCGTTGGGAACAAAGGTTTCTTTCGTTTTTTAGCATCTAACCTTCACAATCCATTAGGTCTCCACGACGCTCGAGTAAATCCCTCCCTATTTAGCATCTTGGGCTCCCCTACTACTAGGAGTTAAGATTTTTAAATCAAATACAGAAGTTTGGCGTGAAGAGTTTATTTTTGGCCCATGTTAACAACAATATATTTTCTTTATAGATTAAAACAACGTAAATTATAAATACAGAATATATCGCACTGCCACATTTCTGATTTGTATATTCAAGTTTCTTTTTATTACTTTATGAGTACGATGAATAAGAGGAATTTGACTATTTTTATAAACATTTATTTTGATATGCCTTTGTATTACCGGCCCCATGACTGGTAGATTGAGAAGAAAAAAATAACTGTAGTAATAGGTACTACAAAGTTAATAACAATTTTGTGCCCTAGTTAGGTACCATTCATAATCATGAACACTTTTATATGTAGCAAAATGCGCTAAAATAAACCAATTATCACACCGTGTCCTACCAGTACCTAATTATAATCCAACAGCATCGTTTGATCAATCAGAAGGCCAACTGAAGCAGCATTTCATCCAAATCAGTTGCAAAGGCTATAATAATATCAAAACAAGGAATCAATATCACAGATTTATCTAAAATAACTAAATTTTTTACTTGAAATTTCACCCAATCACTCTATATAAACAAAATTATAAACATCTGTTACTTGCAAATTTGTAATTTGGTTTCGATTGCCATATAGTAGAGTATTTTTACAATAACTAAAAGGAATCCCTCTCGGATAGATACTGTACTAACAATTAACTGGTGATATTTTGTGATTATAGGCAGTGTCTACACTACATTTGTTAAAACTGAATTATATGAAGTACCTGTTTGTAATGTTACAATGACCATCACTCTTCACTTGACATCCCAAAATTTTAGACCCCAGAGAGCTTTAATTGATTTATTACATAATGAAAACTAAAGGTGCTCTCTAACACTAATCCCTTCAGATAAAGAAATGTACTGTGTCTGCAAGCCGTAACAGAACAACCCATTTCTCTATCTCGTTATAGTCACAGTTCCCTTTTTATTGATATTGAAAGAAACGTAAGTTTTCAAGAAGGGAGGCAAACAAATTTTGCAGTTATATGAAGGACAAACTTGTCGTAAACTATAAGGGTTCTTTGTTGACTATGGAACCCTAAACATTTCTCATCTTCACGATAAGTTATGGCCTGCCAACTCCCTTTTAACAAGTGAATTTTAATAGATTAGGGCTGTGACTTACGTCGCTTGAATTTGTTAAAAAACATTATATTGGCGTTCTTGGCGAAGTAATGGCATGGATTAATTTGGATAATCATAATAAATAAATTCTGGCATTACCTTTGAATCCACTTCTATCCATGCAGAAAAATGCTACATAATTACATAGCCCATATGAAATTCTAAATTTGCTCATGCCATTCATACCAAGATCAAAATACGGCTTGAAAATAAAAGACACTGTCCTAAGCGACCAAGAACAGCGCCACGACACGGAATTTAGTCACATTTCGTCGAAAAGCTTTGTTTGAGCTAGACTGTTAACTTACCCATATTACAACATGATCAAATATTTTTTAATAGTTAAAGAAAAACGGTGCTAGCTCAATTTTTTTTAAATATGGGTAAGTCTTTTTGTTATCTGTGGAGAGTCTACCACAATTTATGTTGAGATTGTGGACAAATCTAGGTAGACTCTCACAGCTGGTATTCAGATAAATATTTTATGTTTAACAATGGAGAGAATCGCGTACAGTATCCAATATGGACAAAGGGTGCGAGAACTCTCTGCAAGTCCCGATGTTTCGTTTTATATACACACTTTTAAAAAAGGTAACCATTCAAGGTTAAGTCTTATTTCACGATAACTATTTACACTCACATTTTGTTATAATAAATTCATTACACTTTTTACAAATAAGTTTTTTGTTTTTGTAGTTTTAATCTAATTCCATTCACCAGTCAGCAAGTCCAGATAGTAGCTAGTTGCACCGAGCGAGATCGGAAGGCGACGCGGCGTTACTTGTCGGCGTCATCATCATCGGGGCGCGACACGTACAGCGCGGGATCGATGGTTTTGGGGATCGGCTTAATCTCCGTGCCCAGTTCCTGCTCGATGCGGTGCAGAGCGAACCGATCCTCATACGTGATTAGGTTAATGGCGATACCGAGATGACCGAAGCGCCCCGAGCGTCCGATGCGATGCAGATACGTTTCCGCCATTCGCGGAAAGTCAAAGTTGATAACCACGTTGACTGCTTGCACGTCGATGCCTCTAGTGAACAGATCGGAACACACTAGGTTGCGGCACAACCCCGCACGGAAGTCGTGGAACACTCGGTTGCGATGCGCCTGCGCCATACGAGCGTGAATATAATAGCAGCAATATCCTAACTCCGTTATCTTCTTTGCCAACAGTTCGACACGCTGAGTTGAGTTGCAGAATATAATAGACTGATTAATTTGTAACTGAAATTAAAAAAAAATATTAAATCTAAAATTGGACAAATATAATTAGTTGAAATCAATTTACTGCCTTTGAAAATAATGTTTACACATTGGACTTTCTGTCTTCTTTTAATATTATGCATAGTAAGAAGGAAGATTGTAACAGGAGAATAAAGGTTGAAAACAAGAAAGCAACACTACCTTTGAAAATAATGTGTTTAAGCAATGGACTTTTTGTCTTTCTTGAACAAATGCATAGTATTGTGTGACACCCTTCAAAGTTAATTCCTCCATGAGGTTAATTTCGTAGGGCTCTCGTAAGTGCTTTTCCATGAACTGCTTAACACTCAATGGGAAAGTAGCCGAAAATAGCAAGATCTGGCGTTCTTTGGGTAATCTGAAAAAAAAACCAATATGACATAATAAATAAAAATTAATAACAATGAAAAATTCACTTCTCTAGATTAGAGAGAATTATATATTCTGTAGCATCTGCTCTCCTAGCATGAGCACTGCAATTCGATATGTAACTGGTTTTTATCACGCTAAATTGTTAAATTGCTATAGAGTTTTGACTGTTACACGCGTTTAAAATGTGATATAATGTAAATTGTGGTGCTCATGCTACAGGGACTGGAGCGCCCAGCCACCATTATATTATGGTTATTATGCTATATGGGAATTGAGATTTACTATGCCAGCTTAGTAACGTACGTCCTCACGCTTCCTACAGGCAGTTGCTAAAAATCAGTATTTTGCCTAATATGCTTAGATTAAAATAAAAAGGGAAGAGACGGTACGCTCATACTAGCATCAAATAAAGTATGATCAGACTCAAGTACATTAGCAACTCTTACACACGCACACGTCTGTAAATAACATTCAATCGAGCGAGCGACACAGAACTGTAAGCTTCAACGCAGAGCGAGCGAAACGGTGAATCAGCTTCCGAGTGCGAACGGCTGAGCTGTATTGTTATCCTTTTCTTGATGTGTCTGAAATGACGATTAAGGTAATAAAATTCACGACAAGCCGCGTTTTTTTGAAAATGTCGCGAATTGTGGTCATGCACCACAATTTAAGTGGATCACTTTTGAGCCGCGAGTGCCGATCTTCCCTTTTTGTTTTAATCTAAGTCTAAATCTAATATGGCAAATACATTGCTGAGTTTCTGCCTATTTGCATCACTGTAACTCACTAATGACTGTAGTTCAGGCTAGATCTTTAAGAATAGTTCAAACTAATATTCTATACATATCTGCAATGATTAAATGCATTACTACTTATGTTAATTTGTGATGCAAATAAATAAACTAAAATTTTAACCTTTAAAAAGGAAAATTTGATATGACAGTGATATCTGTTTTCTTCAAATGTATTTACTAAATTGAAGCTAATGCCGTCAGATGTAAATACAATAAGTACTGTTTTTGTAGTACTATCAACATTCGATTCCTGAACCAAAATGTTTATTTTTTTACATTCTAAAAAAACTTTTAAGCAAGGGTTGCAAATTATCAAGATAATTATTTTCATGGATTATCCAGCAATTGGTAAATAATTTTTGCGTAAAAATGCAAGTATTTTTAGGTATTATTTATATGTGACAAAATCGCATTCAAAATTTAAATTGGTATTGAAAATCTTTGCTATCAATGATTTTTTTCTTAATCGTACTATTATTCTTATTGCCTGCTTTCCACCTTTTAGAATTTATTTTTATCTCTTATTTTTGGTCAATAAATTCAATGGGATATCATCCTCGTCATCAGTTAGAATCTGTATTTATATTTTGGTGTTTATGCCCAATTCTGGTTGTGTGATTTATTTAGTAGTTAGGCATTGTCCTAATACAACGCGATAACGCGAATGAGCGATGCGATCATCGTACGAGTCGACGATCAAACATATTGATCTAGAATAGGTGTCCTAATAGGCGATCGAGCGATGCATTCGCGCGACTAAAATGTTTAAAAATCTATTCGCGGGAACATAGTTCGCGCGAACGCGCAATCAAACCTATTAATGATGAATAGGTGTCCTAACTGAAGTTCGCGCGATGATCGCGTCGCGTCGATAGGAAGCGGGAAAAAGGGCAGGGCTAACCCGACCAAACTGTGTGGCAATCGTGATCGCGTATTCGCGTTCTATTAGGACACCCCGTTCGCGATCACGCGATGGTCGCATCGTTTAAACGCGCGATGATCGCGTTATCGCGTTGTATTAGGACAATGCCTTAGACATTATTATCAATGATAATTATCAATATTTATCTTGAATACGACCTGGGGCCCATTCGCCTAACGGGATTGCTTTGGAAAACGCTATCGGTTACGATTCCATTTTGTTATTTCTGACCGCCGCCGCCTCCGAAGGTTTTTATATACCTCACGCTCATTTTCTTTAATATTGTTATTACCCATGCAAAAGAAAAAAAAGAGCGCGAGGCATTTGAAAACCTCAGGCGGCTAGAAATAACAAAATGAAATCATGAGCGATAGGGTTTTCCATAGCAATCCCGTTAGGCGAATGGTCCCCTTGTTGTAATTTTATCTGTAAATAATTTTATAAAAGTTATATTAAAACAGAGGGCCTTTAAAAGAGTTTTGAAGAGAACCTTGCACTTACACCCTTTCATATACTTGTTCAATTTGTTTTGAGGATTGTTTCTTGCTACTTTGGGACTTCTAGTTGATTGTCTGTTGTTATCTATATGACATTATGTGATGGAAGTTGACCACAACACATTTTTTCAAGTTTGACGATTTTGAGGGAGAAAAAAGCAGCCGTTGCTGAGTTTCTTACCAGTTCTTCTCAGTACAAGGTCTTCCGCCGTAGTTTTCGATTTTCACATGTGCTTGTAAAAGCCTAAACTGAATAAATGATTTTTGGATTGAATTGATATTTATTGTTGATAAATTGTCAAGAAAAATTATGCTCATAATAGCCTAGTTGACCTTTTTTGGAAAAAGGTTTTAAATGGTTAATAAATGTTCTATTAGACCGAAAAGTTTTTTGAGACCTAGAAAGCTAGAAATCTTTAATTTTATAATAGACTTTTCATGGACATACACTGCCATTTTAGTCTATAGATTATCTATGCTATGACGTCAACTGTAGTAAACAAAAACTCGTAAGCGCGTAGAAAATACCTTATCTGAGTTTATAATAAAAAAAAACATGGTTTCTAATAAACACCACAAAAATAAAGTAATTATCATTATTGTATTGTACGAGAATATAAAAACACATCCTTGAAGACTCCAGGAAAGTTATGGATTAAAGTGCCGAAAGAAATTAACCTACGCAACTTTATTACACTTATTCATATGTTGTATCAGTTTTATGTTTATTACTATATTGTAATACTAAATGCACTGTACTTACACAGATGCCTTGTCGTTTCTCTGCTCCGCAGAGCAGAAATCGGGGTTTAGTGCAAAAATCACCAACCATCAATGCGTCAATTCTTGGCAGATTTGTGCTTTCTGCTTTCACAAAGCCGGCATCCATAATTAGTTTTGTCAAAAAAATAAACAGTAAACGGAAACTTTTCTAAAGTTAAGTGTTTTAAGATAAATTTAGTCAGACGAAAGAATCCACCCACAGTAAAACGCGAATGACATTTAGTTGTTTACTACAAGAGACGTCACAATCATGGCGGATGTGGCGTACAGCGTTTTTGGTGTTTAAAAAATATAGACTAACAAATATTTTTCAAAATTAAATTTCTACAGCTAGCATTTAGGTTCCTTAGACCAAATACTTTAAGAAATAAACATTTATTTAATACAATGCGACATGAGTCAACTAGCCTATTATCCAGTGCAACCCTGATTCTAAAACAATAAGGTTTAGCTTTGCCTATACTTAGTATCCCTGGAAAAAAACTTTTTGTCTGCTTCTTTTTTCTATAATGAATGGCGGGCAATGTTTTTCCATACAAACGTTCACGACTGATTCATCCCTTATTTTTTATCACTTACGAAATGATTTTCATAGATTAAATATAATTTTACTCATTCTATACTCCTATGTATTCCTTTTTTCAATAACTTGAGTTTCAAAGAAACAATTATTATTACAAAGTTTGTGTTTCACTTCTTCTTCAGTTTTAATGGGGAAAGAGGAAGAGATAAAGTTAGACAATTAGCCTTTGGGTCTAAAAAGGGATGAATCCCTTTTTTTGTTTACACTTACTTTAATCATGCAGGTATGGTGTTATTCTATAATTTAAGGTTGTTATCAAATCTTTAACTGCAATGTGCAAAAATAAAACTTTATCAAAGCAGTACATCATTTATAATGTTCAAGGTGATGCACAATAGTACGTATATTTTTTAAGCAAACCGCTGTTCATAGTTATAATGCCAGTACCCTTAGTACGAGTTTTACAATTACGATAACTATGATGGTTTTCGTCAGCTCGCACTCGTACTAAGGGTACTAATTTTATTGTTTTCGTTTCAATACAAATAAACAGTGTTTAAATTCTATCATTAAATCATTTGCGCCTTCTTAAATTTGAAGTTTATTTCGTTACTTTTCACCAAAAGAAACATAATTTACAATTACGAAAACTATGATAGTTTTCGTGAGTTCAAACTCGTACTTAGGGTACAGAGCTTTGTATAGCACTCTTTGTATTCACATATTTGTAAGCATACTAGAGTTTTGACATTTATGCACCCACATGCTGCCTTATTCCAAAACTTAATCCTGTCTATCTTATTTTTACCAAACAAAAGTGAGAGCATCAGTTTTAAACCATGACTTGGAATGGAAAGACGAAAGAAGAAAGAGGATGAAGTTTTATTCCCTAATAAGTATGAAATAATTATTGTTCTTCATTATCATTAGAGACATGCATTTTGTAATTTATGAAATTAATTTATTTCTTATGATTTTTCTTTTATAAGCATTTAACTGCTAGATGTCGAAATCTAAAGAAAAGTTTACTAGAAAAAATATCCACGCGGACCAGGCAGCAAACGGGACTCGAACTGGCACCCTTCGCTATCCGGGCGAATGCACTGACCATTATGCTACCGCGGCCCTGACGGCCGTTGTCGAATTTTTCCTAGCCTTTGGTTGCAAGGCAGAGCCATCTCTTCGCATTGTAGGTAACGCACATGTCAAATGAATACTTTTACAAGTAATAAACATTTGAAAGAAGAAATAGCAATTATGGTTATGATTTTATTATTTAAGCATTTAACTGCTAGATGTTGAAATCTAAAGAAAAGTTTACTAGATTTTTTTTATTTATTTGTATTATTTTATATAACATGAGGCAACACAAATTATGAGTATCAGATTTTGATTTCTTATACCTAATTAAGGTAAGATACAATATTATTATTGGATAATAATTGCTTTTGTAGCTTTCAGCATGAAATTTTAAATTTTCTTTGAGGTTGTAATAACAAAATAATATTTTTTTTTATTTATTAAATCACTTTTATTTACTTAAGACAATAAAACAAAGTCTGTGAATAGACTGGGTTTCTGTTTTAAAAATTTATTCTATCTATAGCAAAAATGTCTTCAGGATTTTGATGTAGAGCCTTAATAAATTGTTGTGCTTAAAAATGTGTGGTTCAATACCCAATATTGTCATGCACTGATTTTTTTTGCTTGTTAAAAGCATTAATCCCTCAGCCTTTCACAAAAATCATACATTTTTATTGTAGAAAACCAACTTTTTCTAATAAAAATGAGGTTTCTGGTTATTTTTCGATGTAAACATAGTTTTTTTCATTTTATAAGATTTAAATTTTTTATAACATTATAGCTAATACAACATTAATTTCCCTCAAAAACACGATTTTTTTAAGAACACATCCACTCTCATAATATGCAACAAAATAAAACAAATGAGCAAGTTTATATAGAAAAAATGAACAGAATGAAAAATTTATCATAAATGTATCAATAATCATGCACACCTCTGCTCTTAAACAAAAGAAAAGCGCCAATCTCATATGTGGGAGAGAGAAATATTGCGGTCTCGTACCGATATATGACCATGTTGCAGCTAGAAAATAATACTACTACAACAAATAAACAATATATCTGTCTAGTACTTGGCTATTGTTTACATCCCAAAAAAACTATCTGAAGGAGTAGGTTGACCAGTAACTTATGAAGGTCCTGGGTACTAGACACATTTAAGTGTAAGTAACATTATTCAATAATAAATTGACTTTTCACATCACTATTGTGTTAAAACGACCATCACAGAGTGCTGCACAAGTTCTGTTGTCATAATGATGAAAATGTCAAAAAAATACAAAAATTGCACAGATCAGATGTTGTTTTGACAATAACCATATTTTATAGTACTTATGCTGTATCAAATTAGAGAAAGGGTAATTACCGTGAAATAACCATGTCCAACATGCCTTTGAAGTCTTGAGAGAGGAGTTTATCTGCCTCATCGAGGACCAGCATCCTGCACTGTTCCATCTTTGCAACTTTTTTATCCATGAGATCAATCATACGACCTGGCGTAGCGATTATTACTTGAACTGAAAAAAAAAGTTTTTTTAGTCTAGGGCTTTATTGTTGTTCATGTTTTCAAAATTGCAGTATAACATAACTGATATACAGACAGACAGACTTCTTAATAATATTCGTGCCAAATTTAAAGTAAATTCATGCAGTACTTTTTTAGTTTATCCTGGGCATACATACAGACAAAAATTCAAAAACTATATTTTCGGTATTAATTGTAGATCACACCCCAAGTATTCTTTTACAAAAAAATTCAATGTACAGTTTTGACCTTCCTACCATTTTATTATAAGTATAGATAAATAGATCTCACCATTTTGATAAATGCGCATAATGTCATCCCGAAGATTAGTGCCTCCTGTAGTTACCATTACACGTATGTCTGTGTGCTTCGCCAGTTCAATACAAATTTGTGATGTTTGGAGAGCTAACTCTCGTGTAGGTACCACAATTAAAGCTTGAATGCAATCTTTTTTAGGATCAACCTGCATAATTATAATTCTAAATATTTGGACCACAAAAATAAATATATGCTTACATCAAAATTTAAGGTCAGAATAGATTATTTTTCATTTATAGTAAATGAAGGGGAATCCAAAAATATCATCATTATCTTGCATAGTAATATAGTCAAAGAACAATTACATTTAGTAAATATAAAGTAAAATACCTGTTCTAAGACTGGAATACAATAAGCGCCAGTTTTGCCAGTTCCATTCTTGGCTCTCGCAAGTACATCTTTACCACTAAGTGCAATGGGAATTGAAGCCTCTTGAATGGGGGATGGTTTTTCCCATCCTTTTTCAAAAATACCCATTAACAATTCTCGTTTTAAGCAGAACTCTTCAAACTCATTACCTCTAGTATCTGTTACATCCTAAAAAGATGATATGTACTTATAAAAACTACTATACTCTTTATTAATATTATAATGAGGGTAACTTAAAATCTTACACTAGTTTTTATTCTTCTGTCCTTTGGGGGTATTTTCAATTTTGATTTCCAACCGATGTCGTCGATAGTTTTATCAACGTCTCTGTAAAATGGACCCATAAATGAAAACTTGAAAAATCAACAAACTTCCCACTGAACAAAAAAAAATGACATACCCTTTATTCGGATTGCTCATGCTATTTACGACGTGATTACTCGAACTAATTCTATTTTCAGTCATCATTTTGCCAAACTATCCCACTAGGGATGACTAAAATTAGAAACTTATGATCACAAATCTTTTTCAAAGTCCGACACTAAACCAATTTTATGAGAAGTCACTTTCAGAGACATAGGCTACTAGAAAAGTTTATCACGTTCACCAACTTAGTCCAGGAATATCTGAAACAGTGTCACCAGTTATTATCAACATCAACGGTACTTACTTGAGATAAACGAGACGCGTCAACAAACTATGTTCAATAAACATAGGTATCTACATAGTAATACAAACTACACAAAAATAAATAAGACCTAGGACAACTACAGTAAATACATGCGAGATATCAAAACTAAGTTTAATAATAGCGAACTGTATGTATAGAAAATTTAATGATGGACTAGATACAAACGGATAAATTTATAATTTGACTGAATTTTTTTTAATATGGCTGCCCGAGCTTTGTATAGTCGATTTACAAAATTGATTATAAATGATAATTTTACATCAGGGCAGTCACAAATTATATTATCAAAAAACTTTACTCATGAATATTCCAATCTATTAAAAAATTGAGTCAAATACCTTGATAAAACTTTACAAAAGACGACACTCGATAATTACTCGACGACGACATCACAAAGTAACCATAGATCAGGGCTGCCAGAGGTAATTTTCTAATTTTTGCCAGATTGAAAATCAAAGTCCGTTTTACACTACCCAATATTAAGGGACCTTTACCCTGACGAAGGGTGGAGTAATGTGAGTTAGGGAGTAAGGAACCCGATCAAGGGTGATCGGCGCGGTGTAAAATTGCTACCACCCCAAACTAGGGGCCACGCTCACTCTTTCGATCGAACCCTTAAAATTGGGTAGTGTGAAGCCCGTATAAGTCAGAAACATATAAACGTGTCACGACACATTTATATGTTTCTGACTTATACGCCACGGCGTGACGTGACGCGCCAGAAGCACATCGGCTTCACACATTTACTATGGTTAGAGACATATTTACATGTAGTGTCGACGCTCTAACATCTCTCTCACCCTTACCCATAATAAATGTATGAAACCAAAATTCTTTAGGCTCGTCATGACTATAGATTTATAGGCGGTTGTTTTAGTTTTCAGCCAACCGATAACAATTGCTTTTTTCGCTGATGACTAATAGGGAATTTTTCAATTACAGCACTAGAGTGCATTATGCGGCATAGTTGAATGTTTCAACTACAGCAACGCTTCGCACAATCGTGCACTCTCAGGTAGTTATCCAATTACAGAGCATAATGCGACTCAATGGCGCACAATGCCGAATTATGCTGATGCGTAATTGGAACGTGAATAGGCTAGTTGACTCATGTCGAATTGTATTAAATAAATGTTTATTTCTTACAGTATTTGGTCTAAGGAACCTAAATATATCGATTTCACTTCATAAAAGCAGAAGATTGCTGTAGGAATTTAATTTTAAAAAATATTTTTTAGTCTATATTTTTTAAACACTAAAAACGCTGTTCGCCACATCCGCCATGATTTTGACTTCTCTTTCAGTAAACAACTAAATGTCATTCGCGTGTTATTGTGGGTGGATTCTTTAGTCTGAATAAATTTATCTTAAAACCCTTTTAACTTTAGATAAGTTTCCGTTTACTGATTTTTTTGACAAAACTAATTATGGATGCCGGCTTTGTGAAAACACAAATCTGCCTAGAATTGACGCATTGATGGTTGGTGAGTTTTTTGCACTAAACCCCGATTACTGCTCTGCGGAGCAGAGAAACGACAAGGCATCTATGTAAGTACAGTGCATTTAGTATTACAATGTAGTAATAAACATAAAACTGATACAACATATGAATAAGTGTAATAAAGTTGCGTAGGTTAATTTCTTTCCACATTCACAACATTCCTGGAGTCTTCAAGGATATGTTTTTATATTCTCGTACAATACAATAATGATAATTACTTTATTTTTCGTGGTATTTATTAGAAATCATGTTCTTTTTATTATAAACTCAGTTATTTTCTACGTGCTTACGAGTTTTTGTTTACTACAGTTGACATCATAGCATAGACAATCTATAGACTAAAATGGCCGACAGCGTTTTTGTATGTCCATGAAAATTCTATTTTAAAATTAAAGATTTGTAGCTTTATATGTCTCAAAAAAATACAATACATTTTTTTTCGTTCTAATAGAACATTTATTAACCATTTAAAACCTTTTTCCAAAAAGGGTCAACTAGCCTATTAGTTTTCAAATGCACCAGCAGTTCAGTGTTGAAAAAAAATATCATAGAGTTAGCAATAACTTCATTATTGTGTTACGCACACATACTCCACCGAATCTGCTGACACAAGACAGCATTGCACACGGCACTACTGTTAGTATGGCATAACCGCAAAATTGCACAATTGATGTAAACTGCTGATGCAGCGGCACGTGGAGCATCGCCGGGCGTGAAGCGATGGAGGTCGTCGAGGCGTCACTTTTGCATCAAACTTCGATCGGGTCACTAGATAGATTAGGCTAATATAATTTTATTGTAATTCTTTTATTCCTATTAAATTAGTTCTAAGTAATATTGGTTCTTTTTTCTATCTTCGGCTGCAGCTTCTATAATTGGCGCAGTCGGTAGGATACTCGATAAGGGTAGCTAGGGTTATATCGACTTTTCGCTATCGCGCGTGAGCGAACGGGCCGCGTCGTCGATGCGCCGAGTATCCTGAAAGAACCTGAGGCCACAGCGAAGACACGTATCCATAAATCGATACCGCAAAGAGAGCTGAAATGCAGATTAAACTGTGAGTACATTGAATATTTCTTTATTCGTGTTGCTATATCCTAGTTCCTAGTCCTTTCAAAAAATTTCAAGCACGAAAGATCCGGAGCTAGCGAGTCTGCGGTCAGGCAGGCTCGCCGTCAACTTGAAATAGATTTAAATAAATTCTTATTAGATAGTGATTTAGATTTATTAGTGGAAAATCCGTTCGAACCGGCATCCACTATGTCTCACGACCCAGATGTTATATATAAGGCCCTTCGCCCAGTACCGGAATTCGACAGAAATCCAAATATTTTAACTAGATTCATAAGAATATGCGACACCTTAGTAACTCAGTATATGTCACAAGAGGCAGGTAGCGAGTTTAGCAACTTATGCCTTCTTAATGGTATTCGTAACAAAATTACCGGGCCTGCCGCCACGATAATCAACTCGAACGGCATACCAGACTGTTGGAGCGGTATCCGTGATGTTTTAATTAATAATTTTGCGGATCAACGTGACGAAACCGCACTTTATAACGACCTTGCGTTAGCTTCACAAGGTCAAAAATCTGCTCAAGATTTCTATGACCACTGTCAAAATAGTATAAAGACCACGGACGAGACACCGATGTAAACAAAAAGCTACAGATATCCATATGTTCATAGGCAGGAAATATGGGACCAAATAAGCAAAATGTTACAACAGGGAATAATACGACCTTCAAACTCCGCATGGAGCTCCCCCATATGGCTAGTCCCCAAAAAATCGGATGCATCAGGGAAAACTAAGTGGCGACTTGTCGTAGGAAACTGAATGAAAAAACTTTAGACGACAAATACCCCATCCCAAATATTGCTGACGTGCTCGATAAGCTAGGAAAGTGCCATTACTTTACAACCCTAGATTTAGCAAGCGGGTTTTACCAGGTGGTTTCGGTAGTTCTCCTCGTGTCGCGTTAGTGGTAGGTCGTGTGACTCCGCTCGTCGTTGAGCCCGCCTGCCCAACAGTGCCGAGTGAAAACTGAGGATACCCTCCTCCGCGTTCGCGTGTGAGGTTCGATCGCCAAACAAGAAATTTGTGTATTCCGTGTGCGAAATTGACGCTTAAGTGTTGTGTAGTGTTTTTTGTTTTGTGATCGTAGAATCACCTGTGATTTTCTTGTGCAAAATCTACAAGTGTTTCCCCCGTGTGTTTCCGTACCTACCTCCAATTCCTTTTTGTTTCATTACTACCCTCCCACCTTTTTCTTTCGTATTCTCTGTCCTTGTCTCCCACTAACGTATCATTCTACCCACCCAAACTTTTTTTTTTGTAATATACCCACCGGACTTTTGAGAGCATTTTTTTCTAAAAATGCCCCCAAAACCCCTTCCGCAAAGGAAGCCACCGGACCCTAGACCACGTCCTGCCCCCCGATCGGCGCAGACGGTGCCACCCCTCGCTCGCCAGCCCCTCAGAATGGAGGCGAGCAGCCCCGGCCGGCATGGATGGTGTTGATGACCAGCACCGTCCCCGCCCCGCCCCGGCCACCGCTCACCCCCGTGACCCACGACGACGCCAACTAGACGATGATGAGGCCGCTGGAGGCGACGAGAAACGCCCCAAGCATGGCCCATCGCCACCTCAGCGAGCCGTCGCGCCCGCTCCCAGCACCAGCGGGACGTACGTCCCCCCCCCCACAGAGACGACCAGCCTCCTCTTCGTTGACTTCTCCAGACTCCGAGTCCGAATCGGAATCGGAGCCCGAACTCGCCGGTGGGATGGAAGGGCCCAGCAGCCCTCTCCCACCCCAACTCGACAATACCGCAAGTACAATTTATTGTCAAGTTCAACCGTTTGATGAGAGTGACGGCATGCATGCGCAGTCTTACGCCCAGGCCGTAACGACCCGTGCAACGCCTCCTCTCTCCCCCCACACACCGCCAGCCATCCAAAACCCAACCACACCAAGAGGGTACCCGCCCATAGTAGTGGAAAAACTACCCAACTGGCCGCTTCATTTTAAAAAGCTTAAGGATATTCTCGGCCACACCCCAAATGCGCGCCCCTTCAACACTGGAGTGCGATTCTCTCCCAAAAGTGAAGAAGAGTTTAGAGCCACTCAAAAATATCTTACCCAAGCCTCTAATGAAAATAAAGAAATAATCTGGTTCTGCTATGCACCCCACTCAGACCAACACACTAAAGTGGCAATTCGGGGGATCCCGGTCGACACTAACCCCACAACCATCACCGAGGCCTTGGAAGAAAGGGGCTTCCCTACCACCTTCGTGAGGAGCATCCGAGGGAAGAGAGGCCGCCCGGGATGTATATACCACGCCCAACTAGAGCACCTCCCAAAAGACGAGCTCGCCCGCCTTTATGCAACTGATGAACTCCTGGGCATGCCGGGTGTCATAATCGAAGCCTGGAAGCCAAGAGCCGGACAAGCCCAGTGCCACCGATGTCAGGCCTTCGGACACAGCTCACTCAACTGTCACCGTCCTAAAAAATGCGTCAGATGTGCAGGTGACCACTCCGCCTCCGATTGCCCGCGTACTGACTCCACTCCACTAACCTGCGCCAATTGCGGCAAAAACCACGCCGCCAATGATAGACGGTGCAAATTCTTTTTGCAAACTGCGCGCCGCCTGAATCAGCGTGTTCAACCCCCAATCCCAGGTGGTATGCCGCAACGACGTCACCAGATGACAACAGCTGACCCACAGCAACCCCCGCCAGTCAACTTGTTAGATACCCAAGCCGGACCAACCCTGGCCGCCCCTGCCAACCCGCCCACCGCCAGAGGAGTGCCAGTCTCTAACAGAAGGAGAAGACGCAGAGGAAGGAGGAGGCCACAAGCGGCAGAAGAAGAACAGCGAGAACTCACTGCCCCGA